ATTCCTAATGACTCTAACAAGGTCAAGGGGAGGCTAAAAGAATAAATGAGCTATCTATGACATTGAGTCAATAGAGAGAATTTCCTTTGGACTTAGGAACACAAGGAAACTCTTTAGGATGAGAGCTAACAAGCTACATCACTTGGGAAAACTTAACAAGATTTAAGCACATATATATTCATTCAAACATGATGAAGATATATAATCATGGTAACAACCAAGAAGAAGAGGGCAAGCATGTGACAACATCAAGCAAATATTTGATAAAGTAAAATAGATGACAAGGTTACAACCTAGCATCCATCCTTTATAATTAGAATAAAAACCAATGGTCATAATTAAAAGGTAACCATAGATGTCAGAACATCTAAAAGATCATGAAATAAGGTTCTTACAAGACCAAACATCAGAGATGGCAATTTGAAGTACCAACAAATCATGTATAAGTCAAAACATTACTTATCATGGTGGAGATCAAAACTCAAAATCTACATGCATAAATCATGACAATATTTAAAGCATGGATATCAAACCAAAGTATGGCAAAGGTAACAACCAAAATAACTTTGACCAAGAGTGAGACATATGTGACAACAACATGTGAATTGAAGTGTAAACATTCAAAGCATAACTTGTAGATATCAAGATCATATCATACGAGTGATAAAAAATCTTGGAAACATTATGAATATGAGATGAACATGTTAAACAAGCAAGTAACAACCAGCTTGTAAAAGGGTTCAATGATGGTCTTTGAGTAAGATGAGAAAACAATCACAAGGATTGATTCATACAAACGTGCATACTAAACATATTTCAAAGAAAAACAAACAAGTACCAAAGAAAACTTAAGGCATGGTATGAGATACATAGAGCACATGTTCATTCAAACCACTTAATCATAGAAGAGAATCACAGGTAAGGGCAAGGTAACAACCAAGGTCTCAAAAGATTCAAACATGTTTCCACATAAGGACATGAACTTAAAAAAAGTAATAACAACCACGTAACGATAATGGTATGTAAGCTCATCACATAAAATGAGGTTCATATAAGGTGCATATGGTTCATACAACTCAATAAGTTCAAAGAAAATCAAAGGATCAATCAAAAGATCAAAAGAAAACCTAAAAAACCCTAAAAAGTCATATATTTGGATCATGGATAATCATAACATGAAATAATATTTTTGGAAATTTCTCAGTATAAATGAAAAATAGACATAAGCATAAACATTTTACAAAAAGAATGGGCAAAAAATCATTTAAGATGAAGAAGTTATGACAAGTTGAGGTTGTGAAAAAAATAAATAAAACAAGTGGCAAAAATAAGGGAAATGACCCCATGGGTGTTAAACCCACGCTGCTAAGGTTACAACCTAAAACACTAGCCAAACCAGCCAATGTGCACTTTGTGAATAATGATGGAAGCATGCAATAAAATATCAAATTTATCAAATAAAACAGAAAAAAGGCAAAAGGGTTGATCAGCGGGATCAAACCCAAGTCAGGCATGTCAAAGGGAAAGGCAAGGCAAGGGTTCTACCACTGAGGTGGCTGTTACATCCAAATATTATACGCTTTCATATCATTATATTCTAAGAACCCATTGAAACGGCCAGATGAGCTCCATTTCATGCCAACTCACCTCCACCTAAGCTTTTATCTTCTTCTTCCTCACTTCTCTCTTTCATGCCCTAAACAAAACTCCATGGACAAAATTTATTTTCCTCATAACTTCTTCATATCTCAACCATTTCCAATGATGTAAAGATCAAAGTCACAGTATTTTTTACAAGGATCAAGAATATAACAATATCCCGTCCTAAAAATAAATGAGTAATTTACAAATCACTCAATAACAGTGTAACACCATGGAAGTTCAACATGTTACAACATGTAATATTCAAATCCAAACAAGGCAAACATCCATTCAGAATCACAAAGTACCAAACATACTACATTTCTTATATTCAAACATCAACAAGACAATGCATGAATATGAGAGTTTGAAAGTCAGAATGCCCTACCTCTTGGAGAAAGTCTAAGGATTCTTTTCATCTACTACAGATGGAAGATAACAACCTTCTTAGCTTTCTTAAGTGCTTTAGAACTTGTTGGAATGGCTAATCTAGTTGGAAATAGGCTGGAACACAGAACATAATTCTTCTTGCAATAATGGAGGTTGAAGATGGTGCAGGGTGTTTGTGTGTTACAGAACTTCTTTAATGGTTGGAATAAGTTCTAATGAGAGTGTAAAGGATGTTTATAATGCTTGTTTGAGTTTGGCATGAGTGGAATGGTTTTGGCCAGTGGTTTTGCAAAAACTGGGGTGTTTTGCAAGAATACTGAACCACACGAATGCAAGAGTGTTTTGTGAAGTTTCTGAGGTTTTTTTTTCTTGTCCTTAGCAATGAAAGTTGACTTGGTATTTATAGGGAAAGGGGATGTTTGTAGTGTGATCAAAATCAAACCTTTTGCCAACCATCCATTTTTAATTTTGAACTAAATGTGATGATGGTTTTTTGTATGGTTCAATGCATCAAGTACAAAGTGGTTGACTTTGGGAAGGCTTCTACAAATGAATTTGTACTTAGAGACTTTAGGAGTGGATCCATGCTGGAATAAGAAAAAGGACATGCTTTGTACTATGAATGGAGATAACCACTTGTACCATCACTTGGTTCATGCCTCAAAATCTTGGGAAATAACTTGTATTTTCGTTTACTTTTCTGATAAAGGGGTATCTTGCATCAAACATCTTAAAACAACAAGGTTTGTATCAAAAGACTGGTTTGCCAACATGTCACAACAAGTTTGAACCTTGTATTTCAAGCTCTTGGACCTCAAATTCTTTCCTTTGAAACTCATAGCTCACATATGCTATGGACGAGTTCTTATACTTTTTAGAAATCCCTAAACATATCCTAGAACTTTCATGTTTGATGAAAATATTGAATCTAAAGGTATTATGATGAAAACTGGCCTTGAAATTGGCTGAAAATGAAGGAACAAAGTTGTCTTGAAAATATTCTAAGTGTTTTGAAATTCTTCCAAACTTTGAAGCTTCATAACTCAAAATCTAAGCATCTTTTGCTCATAGGTCACTAGAACACTTTTTGTAGTACATGAAGTGATCTACAAATTGATCTTTGGAACTCACAAAATGAATGTGTGGATTGAAAATTATGATCTCTCAAAGTTGGTACCAAAATGAGGTTTTTCCCGCACATAGAAAAAATTCAAATTTAACCAAGTTTTCTTCTTTTTCAAGAAACCTTTCCAATCTTGATTTCTTCATGATGATTAAACATATCTTGACGAAATTTGGTGTGGATGCTTCAATTTGGACCAAAAATCCTAAAAGTCAAAGAGTTGACTTTGTCAGATCCAGATGAATTCAACTGTGTGATCTTCAATGAATTTGCACCTTTGAACTTCTCAAACATCATAGATAAGCTTCAAGGATGTATATGAACATGTTGAATCATGTCCCAAGGCTTGAGATCATGCTTGGATCAAGAGTCAAAGACACAATTGACTTTTCTTAATAAAACCCTAATTTGGGGGCCAATGAAATTGAGCTTCAGTGATCTTGTAATGAGATCAATTAGCACTTGATTCTTGTTGAATATAAGCTTCTTGAATGTATGTAACTTTGATTTGATGATGACCAATCTCAAAATATTGTCTGATCAAGCAATAATTCCTTTGATTCCAAAGATGCAAAACCCTAATTCAGATGTGCCTCAACAACAATAAACTTGAAACAAGGTTAAGATTATGAAATAATGCTTGATGATCCTATAATGACAATGGAATCTAAGGGTCAAAATTTGGGGTATGACACTTGCGCTCTCTCTCTCTCTCTCTCTCTCTCTCTCTCTCTCTCTCTCTCTCTCTCTCTCTCTCTCTCTCTCTCTCTCTCTCTCTCTCTCTCTCTCTCTCTCTCTGCCATTAGAATATCTTGCAGGTACACTCCCTACTCTCCTCCACCATCGACGATTTGAAGTTCACGACGTGTTATTGTCAGTTGATCCCATTTCTGATCCGGCAAAATCACATTTAAATATATATTTTTCATTTTGAGCATAATTGTTTCAATACATTTATTAGGGCATTTGTAATAGAGATTGCTTAGGATCTAATTGGAGGAATTAAAACAATAAAATATTCTTAATTGATAGGTCAAAGATAGATTGTTTATTATAATCATCATTAGATTAAAATTGGTAAAGATTAATTAAAAATTGTTTAGATACAATGTGTTAATTTGAACCTAAAAAAGTATCTCATCAAATTTAAATTATTTCTCCTATTGTAGATCTAAAAGTATATTAGTGATATTTTGAAGAATATCAAATTTACAATTGTAGAAAAAATGATACTTAGTTGCAAGTTTCACAAAACACAATAGGAAAAGGAAAGAGATTGGCAACAAAAAGAAAAAGGAACACAGAAAAGAGAATAAAGAGAGTGAAGAAAGCACAACAAAGCCACTTTATTTTTCTTGATCCAATCTAAACCCAACCTCTTCCAATCTCACTTTATCTCTCTAACATACACCACCAACCTAAACCAATGTAAGTTGTTGTTTATGTTCCTTTTTCTCTTTTGTTCTGTCTTTTTTTTTTTTTCTGTTTTCCCCCTTCATGTTTTCATCCTAAAATCTTGAAATTCATCCATCAAGTTCCTCTTTTTCATCTTCCACTGCTTCAAACACTTCACCCCTTACCTAAAAATCACAACTTTATCATGCCCATGAATCGTTTTTGCTATTTACTAACACTCTTTTATCTGATTCTTCTATGTGTAACCCCTTCTCAGTCAATTGATATTGATATTAACCCACAAGACAAAAAATCTCTTTTATTGTTCAAATCATCTCTGCATGACCCTAGCCAGAGTTTATCCAACTGGGTAGGGTCTAATTGTTCTACATGGAATGGAATCACTTGTGACAACACTACTGGCAGAGTGATTTCAATCAATTTAACAAGTATGAACTTGTCAGGTCAAATCCACCCTGATTTTTGTAATCTTTTGTATCTTAACAAGGTGGATTTTTCACACAATAATTTCACTTGCCCTCTACCTGTTTGTTTTGGGAACTTACTTAACCTTAGAGTTATTGATCTTAGTCACAACAGGTTTCATGGTGGAATACCGGATTCTTTCATGAGGCTTAAGCTTCTCACTGAACTTGTTTTGAATGAGAATCCACTCTTGGGAGGTTTCCTCCCTTTATGGATAGGTAACTTTTCTGCAAATCTTGAAAGAGTTAATCTTGGTTTCTGTTCATTCAGTGGAGGAATACCTGAGAGTTTACTTTACTTGAAGTCTCTTAAGTATTTGGACCTTGAAAACAATTTATTGTCTGGGAATCTTGTTGTTTTTCAACAACCTATGGTTATTCTCAACCTTGCTTCCAATCAGTTTACAGGTACTTTGCCTTGTTTTGCAGCTTCAGTTCAGTCGCTAACTGTGTTGAATTTGTCTAACAATTCTATTATGGGGGGTTTACCTGCTTGTATTGCTTCCTTTCAAGCTTTGACTCATTTGAATCTATCAAGGAACCATTTAAAGTATAGAATATATTCAAAGATTGTGTTCTCGGAGAAACTTGTTGTTTTGGACTTGAGTAATAATGATTTGTCTGGTCCTATTCCTAGTAAAATTGCAGAGACCACAGAAAAACTTGGCCTTGTTTTTCTTGACCTTTCTCACAATCAATTCTCTGGTGAAATTCCTTTGAAAATCACCGAGTTGAAAAGTTTGCAGGCTTTGTTCCTTTCTCACAATCTTCTTTCGGGGGAAATTCCTTCTAGAATTGGAAATTTGACTTATCTTCAAGTCATTGATCTCTCACACAACTCTCTGTCTGGTACCATTCCTTTCAGCATTGTTGGGTGCTTTCAGTTGTATGCTCTTATACTTAATAACAACAATCTTTCTGGCATAATTCAACCGGAGTTCGATGCATTGGATATTTTGAGGATACTAGATATAAGCAACAATAGGTTTTCGGGGGCTATTCCACTCACTTTGGCTGGATGCAAATCTTTGGAGATTGTGGATTTCAGTTCCAATGATCTTTCTGGATCATTGAATGATGCAATAACCAAATGGATGAACCTCAGGTATCTTTCTCTTGCTCGGAACAAATTCGATGGAAACTTGCCTAGTTGGTTGTTCACATTTCAAGCTTTAGAAACGATGGATTTGTCACACAACAAGTTTTCTGGCTTTATACCTGATGTTAATTGGAAGAGTAGCTTATTATTTAACACAAGGGATGTTACTGTTGCTGTTAAAGAAGAGCCTTTGGTTGAAGCGAGAAGGGTTGAACCAAGAGTTTCAGTAGGTGTTTCTGATAGCAACCAACTCAGTTTCACATACGATCTTTCATCAATGTTCGGAATCGATCTATCCAATAATTTGTTGCATGGAGAGATTCCAAGGGGCTTATTTGGCCTAGCTGGTCTAGAATATCTGAATTTGTCAGGCAATTTTCTCAATGGACAGCTTCCTGGTTTGCAGAAAATGCAAAGTTTGAAAGCCATAGATTTGTCGCATAATTCCTTATCGGGACATATCCCTGGAAACATTTCCAGCCTTCAAGATCTAACCATCTTGAATCTGTCTTACAACTGTTTCTCTGGATATGTTCCTGAGAAGCAAGGGTATGGAAGATTTCCTGGTGCATTTGCTGGCAATCCAGATTTATGCTTAGAATCTCTGAGTGGAATATGTGATGATGGAAGGATTCCATCTAATCAAGACAATTATTTTAAGGAAGATAAGATGGATGGGCCTATATCTGTAGGGATTTTCTTTATCAGTGCCTTTGTTAGCTTTGATTTTGGTGTTGTTATTCTATTCTGTTCTGCTCGAACAAGAAAGTACATTCTCCAAATCAAAGCTTGATTTGTTGCATCTCACAATGGCAATCTTTCTCCTGTAAATTCCATTTTGTAATTTGGCAGCTGCCTTCTTGTTTCTAGTGAACATAGACATCTGTGTCCCGGACAAATGTCATGATGAGTCACCAAAGGTTTAAACCATTCATGACCAAAGGGTTTAAACCATTCATGACTCTGAATAGAGTGTAATTGTAAAGATTTATACTGCATTATTCAGCTGGGAAAGAATGTATGGTTATGGTGAAAATTTTATAACTTGATTGCTCGAGCCTCGACTTTAGGATGCATTATCATATTCATCCACATACCATACCTTGTTATTTATAATCAGTGGAGACTTAGCATGGAACATACATGCCTTTGTATCTAGTTTACTTATGGTTAAATTTTGATCTTGGTCGTCAATTTGCAGATTTACAAACAGGTTTGCGTTTATGGAAAATGTGTGATTCTAGTTTTACCAAGCTCTATTTTGGTGTTAGCTATAGTCAGGCCGGTGCACTCAAAATTTTAATACTTTTACTGAATTTAAATGATATTCTGTCAATTTTTTCTTTAAAAAAAAGAAAGATGTTAGCCTTGAACTTTCTGGTATTGTTAATCTAAACACCTATATCTAGATTCGAACCTAACAATACAAGTGCAAAAAAAGACTAGTAGAAATAAAGCTAGCGGACGAGCAATCAATTGATTTCAAGGCCAAAACTCCAAAAGCATTAAACATGCTTTAGTGATTACAATGAATTGTTTACATTGTTTACAGAAAACAAGTAATTAAATTTGACTTCCGTATAGAATAGAATAAATGATGTTACATACAATGAGTTCTATCAATTTCTATTACCTACTTAACTTCCAAAAGGTTACTTATGGCGTGCATGCAATATGCTGTCCTTATGGTTTATGCCTGTAACAACAACAAACAGTCCTTCTAGCTTCCAATTTAAACCCAGAAGGCCAAATTCTTTGCCTAAACCACCCTGACAAACCCTTTAATCTTTGTTGCAACCAATTTATTGCTCATCTCAAAAGTTGCCATTTGAAAGCTACAGCCTGCATCCATTTCCATTCCTATTTGCACATGATAATACATCTTTTGCTACCGCAAATACTGTTCTAATATTTGATAGGACCATCTAGGCTCCCGGATGCAAACTGCCACAACAAAAATGAAAGAAAAGAGACAGAAATTGGTCAAGGCAGATTTACAGTGCATTTTCTCAATGGGAATAGATTTCGGTTTGAAGAGGGCAAATAAGCGTTTTCTTTAATGAGAACATTTCCACGTATTAAATTTAGGTATAACCTTTAAGAAACTGAAACTCCGCGATAAAAGAATACAGAAACAACTTGTCATATTGACAGTAACTGATGAAGCAAAACAAACCTGCTGAACAATTGGATTCGTTGAAGTAGTAAATTCATGAGTCATTCCTTCCCAAACAACCTTTCCCTTGTGTAAAAACAACAACCTGTGTTTATGCAATATCTTTTCAAATTAAGGTACATCAAATTGTGAACAAATTAAGAGGTTATGTTCAACTATCACGAAAATATACTTACCTATCAATGGCTCTTTTAATGGTACTGTGTTGGTGAGTAACAACCACGTAAGATGTAATATTCCCAGGTTTTCCAAGTGCATCTCGTCCTTTTATGTGGACAGACCGAATCAAATCTTCAACAACGGTAGATGCAATGGGATCAAGTCCAGCAGTCGGTTCGTCATACAAGAGCACCTGTTTATATTTTAAAAAAGATGAAAGAGAGAAAGGAAAAGGAAGGATGAAGTTACATGTTGACTAAATAACAGTAAATGTCACGTCAAATGAGAATTCGGGGAGCATCTCAGAAGTTGGAATATTTAGTGTTGTGGCAAAATAACCGAAAGCCATTGAGTCTTATCTAATGAGCATAAATAACTAGGAAGAGAGTATGTTCAAAGAGGGAATTCTTAGAATAAGACGGTGTATACTTTTTTGCGTGATAGACAAGTATTCCGGTTTCTCCTTAATCATTCACATTGATGAACCAATGGAAAAATTGTGGACTAACAAATATAGAAAATGGTATTAATTACAATAGATGGATAATACAGTTTCCAAGAAAAAATTACCCTCGAAAACTACAATTGTTGAGAGATGATTTATACTCCCTCCGTTTCAAAATGGCTGTCGTTTAAGATTTTTGCACACAGATTAAGGAATGCAATGATATTGTCATAAGATATTGCACTTTTACTAAATTAGTCTTATTAATATGTTGGAAAGAGTGTCCAGAGTAATAATTATACGACACAATTGAAAAAATAATAATTATTACTACATTAAAAAATGAGAATGACATTCATTTTGAAACAAAATTTTTTTCCTTAAAACGACAATCATTTTGAAACGGAGGAAGTATATTGTAAGAAATAGTAGCATAAATAATATTCCATGGCTTGCATACTAACAATTGAATCTTTTGGTTTTTTTCAACATTTAAAGATTTCAGCCGTAGAATTTCACTTTCTTTATACACTACAGTAAAACATAAATAATTTTCGAAAGCCAAAATAACTGCCTTGCTAATGTCACTATCATAGACATTGGTTCAGAAAAACAGCGGAAACACCTTTACTATAGAAACTTCCTTCGATACATTATCAATGAAGTACAGAACAGAGATCCAACAATACAGTTATTAAGATCACTCCCTTACTTCTCATGTATTGGAGATGCCCAAAACTTCCCTCATAATTTCCTCTCTAAAACCAAAGACTCCTATTCTTTCTATCAGACTTTGGATTGGGGCAAACTCAATCCTATAAAACCAACTTGTAAGGTGAAGAATGTCCAAACCGTTTAAAAGCATTACTTAGGTCACATCTCTAGGTGATGTTGGGATAAACCCAGTCCCTTATTCCAGGTGATGTAGGCTGCAATGAAGGAAACCCAAATGCCACAATTAGGGTGGCTAGGGGCAGACCGGAGTTAAATGCAGAAATTTCAACGCACTAACATGTATTGGATATACCCAGAATTTCTCTCTCAAATTTCAACTTCAAAAACAAAAATATTTCTCGCCATTCATTCATTCCTATTATACCATGTCATTCCCTCTGACTACCTAACAAACTAGCTATTACAACTAACTAACCGTCCTTAACTGGGGTTCTGCTAAGTGCTAACACATACAATGGAAATTGAAGATAATTGTATTTAATAAGCAAAATTAACTAATGTAACTTACAGTGCTTGAATTCATAAATGAAACTTAACAAAAGCAAATAAAAATGAAAGACAATCCTACCTAGTGAAGCCGTTTCAAATATTAGGAATGGCATTTGATAGTTAATAATCTGAGGAAGGATTAGACACTTAAGAGTAGGAAAGGAGAAATTTCAGAAGTTAACATACCTCTGGTTCTATTGAATCCTTTGTGGTGTCACAAATAATAGATCGAGCTAAAGCAACTCGCTTTTTCATTCCGCCTGATAACTCAGAAGGAAGCCGCTCCTCAACTCCCTGTAAAAGATGGTGGATACAGAGTTATTCAATACAAAACTACTTTCTCAATGGTAAAAAGAAAACATTTACTACTACTTTATCACTTCCTGATGTTAATGGACGAACCAAGTACTACACCTATAAGACAGATACCTTTAAACCAACTGCGGCCAAGGTTTCCTTGACAAGCTCTGATATTTTTTCCTCAGGCATGCTTGAGTGTTCATACCTGAACAATTAACAAGGTCAGAAACAAAAAAGAAAAGGAATATAGAAGCCAGAAATCAATTAAATACACAATTGTTATCACCCTTTCATGTTAAAAAGGAAGTGAAATTTCAAGCACAAGATTAAGCTTGCGTCTTACAAGAGAAAACCAACATTTTCACGAACAGTCAAAGAATCAAAAAGTGCCGCGCTTTGGAACACCTGTTTACAGATAAATAAATAAATAAGATTACAACTAAAAACGTGATAGCACTTGAGAATAAGCATGTTGCAGATAAGTCTGAAACTTACTAATCCAATCCGAAGACCTGATATCTCGTCATCACTTATCAAACCACTTCTCTTTCTACCTCGAATAAAAACTTCTCCCTGCTCAGTGGACAAGAGTTAACACTCAAGAAGTGAGCTCAATTATTCAAAATGAAAATCACATGCCCAAATCAGTCACTTACCTTGTCTGGGGCAAGAAGTCCCGCAATAATCTTCAAAATTGTAGACTTGCCAGTCCCAGAAGGACCAATTATTCCAACAGCTTCACCATGCCTGATCTATTCGTAATGTTCAAAAGATAAAACATGTGGAAATATTTTAGTATGCTCCCAATCAGCCAGGCCAGGCCTCCTTCAATTTTTCACTGATAACTAGTCTTTTGTTTCAAAAAAAGTGGTTTTTGATAGAACATAAGTATTACTTTATTTCTCTAAAGCATGAATACTTCTAAAATGGTGAAGTACCGGTACCGAGTACTTATCTGTACTGGGTACACATACCGTACTCGTGGTACTTCATTAGTGGTTTTCTCAAATATTAATATAGTATATTTATGTATTTTAGTTTCTTCATTATTGTATTTTAACATTATTTTTTATTTTTCTAAAACTATTTTAGTGATGTTTTGTCGTGAACCTAACAATATAATTCTCTGCTCATACATTTTAGAGAAAACTCATATTTTTTATTAACCTACTCATACCCTTATTTTTGTAAAATTATTGTATTTCACTATCTCGTACCGGTACCATACCCCTACCGTTGCACCATAGCATTATTTCATACTAAGGTAGTGTTTGGAGCACTTAGTTTAAGTTTATCTTATACTGTAACAAACACTTGGGTAAAGAAGTGTTTGGAACAGCTTATTTGGAAGTACTTCTGAAATAGCTTATATATGCTAAATCTTATACAACAACCGCATATAGAATAAATGCTTAACTAAGTTCTCTACTGAATATCACTCCTAAATATCACACTCGCGCTCAATAGAATAACAACATACAAGAATTCAACCAAAACATTAAAGCATAAGTAAAGACACTGATATAATGAATCAATCACCTTGAAGCTGATACCATTTAAGATTTTCTTTTCCCCAAAAGACTTGTATACGTCTCTACACTCAATAAGAACATCAGAATCATCATCTTGATCCCGAGTTGTGTTTAGTTGTTCTGATTTGGATGAACCCTAACGTAACAAATACAATTGATGTCACAAATACCGAAACAAAAAAAAGAGAAAGAATAAAACTTGGTGAGTTAATAACAAACCCCACATTGAAAAGAGAAAATAAATGTTGTTTTACATTGAATTGAATGGCGGAAGAGTCTTGGGAGTTGAAATTACGTGGAGGAGCGATGCAAGCACAAACAACTTTTCTGCGAATTTTGTTAGAGTGATTGTGGTTGTTGTAGAGTGGATTGGCGTTGTTGTTTGTGCGTTGAAATCTAGTAGAAGGGGGAGTATTTTTTGTTGGAGTGAGGCGAAAGAAAGGGTTGGTTGAGAGGGAAACCATGGTTAGGGGATTTGGAGATGGAGAAGCTATTTATGGGGTGATGAAGATGGAAAGTAGCATGTGATTCATATGGAGAAGGAGTGGCGTTTTTTCAAAAGGGTGGTGATGATGAAGAAGATGGGTGAGTCAAATGGAGATGATTGGTCGTCGGTGATTTTGAGAAGTCGCTTTCCCGGAAGATGGCTATTGGACTTGCCTCAAAGGGCCTCACTCCATGGATCTTTCTCTTCTTTGTTTATTGTTTTACTCAAAGAACAAATTCTCCTTTTGAGTAAATATCAAATATGTCCTCATATAAAAAAAAAATCATAATCTATAATTGGATAATCGAGAAGGAGTGAGTTATTCTAGTGGTAAAAAATTTATTATGGAGGGGATGGATTTGTAAAATTAGCACTTCAATATTTAAAAAGTAAGAGAGGTGTAGTTTGTAAGAGTGAGAGTGAAATAATATATGTTATGACACGTTTAATCTGATGTGAAATGATGAATTGTTCGATTAGATCTTACGATAGTCGATGTATGAGAAGTTGGGATCAGGTGTCTGACTCTTTGACGGGGTTACACCTGTTTATTTGTCTTTTGTAATGATGTTATAGATTTGACCCTTGTTATTGGGTCGACTTGATTGGGCATGTTTGTTTGGATCATTGGATGTTTGGAACAGTTATCCCCAAGTCCTTACCACCACTTAATGAAATGAGAATTGTCTTAGTGAATATGGGATCGGTCTCAAACATGTTTCCATCTATTGCTTTGAGTTTCCATGATAGATTTTTGGTATGCTTGTTTGGGTATGCTTGTTTGGAACAATTGTCTCCCTAAGTCCTTACCACCACTTAGTGAAATGAGAATTGTCTTGGAGAATATGGGATCGGTCTCGGACTTGTTCTCTTCTACTGCTTCAAATTTCCTAGGTAGATTTTTGGCTTAAAAAAAGGGAGCGAAAGAAGGTCACTCACACCTCTGGCTCTATACATCCCTAACTTTTTGTAAAACATACATTTTACCCTTAGCTATTTTTCGAATATCCAACATTGCAACCATCATTTTTCTGCCTACTTCGACATGTACCTTGGTGAATTAGTTTATGTTCTTCTAGAGGGTTTCCTTTTTCTTCTTTGGCTTCTGCCGAGGAGAATTATTATCTTGGGTTACATTTTTGGGAGGTCAACTGGGCGGTAAAGGAGTCATAAAGTTCATTTCAAGAATGTATTTAACTGTTAAGTAAGGTTTTGAACCACCTCATGGAAAATTCTTTGAGGGTCAAGATGAATAATTTACATTTCACCATGCTTTAGGCATAGTGATAATCAAGTATGGTGTCCACGTGTTTGACGTGTTCGTCTAAATCTCTAGTTTCATTGTTACTATCTAACTTTGGGGGGTTTTCAAGAGACTTTGGGATCTCGTTGTCAAGGATGCGCCTGAATAGTCAGTTTCTTTTTTTATTAAGGAACTTATACTCCGACATCGTGAATGTATTCTTTATGAATATGGCGTGAAGGAGATCCTCGAGGATGACATCCTTCAGGGGAGTGTGGAAGAGATTGGCGTTCTCGGTATTGGGGGCGGTCTAAGGGCTGCTCGGCTTGGAAATGCAATATCAATAAGGATTAGTTTCAACGTGGTTTCACAATTACCATGTAATGCTACTTTGTGCTGGGAGTGGTATCTAGGAAGAGCTATTGCAATCCTGAAGAGTCTCTCTCGTCCAAGAGATGTACATTCTGTTGTTGTACTAAGTTAAAGACGCTAGTGAGAAGGTCATTAGCTCCTTGCACGCCTACATTAACTTGTAGTTTTTGGAAGCTTGAGAGCGTCTCCGATTCAGGGATGTGTGGTTCTAGTAACGGATGTTTGAAAGTTTGACCTTAAAGAAATAGTTGGAAAGGCTGGAAGATTAATAGAACCTAGAACATGCTTTGGTCGATAGTTAAAGGAACTAGAATCTAAGAATCCAAAATAGAGGAAGAAGTTACTAAGATTGGGTTAACTTCTTTTATTGGGGGAGGTAGAGCCTTTCTCATATGATTAAGAACATTAACTATCGTAGCAATGAAGTTATGTTTGGCGGCTATTCGAGCTGACTTAGATGTTGTTATAGTTTGGACAAAATTGATCGAAGATTATAGTAGGAAGAAGATTGGTTGTTATGCAGTAGGGGTGAAGAAACAATTGTTTATTGTGAAATTCAAGGGAACTAGAAGTTAATTATCATATACGAGGCCATTGGTTCATGATGAAACAAGAACTAGATAATCTGGAAGGATTGAGTTCTTCTGGTACGATGGTAAGATTCTCTAGTGTGGTGGAGTAAGGTGGACTTATAATGTTAGCACTTTAGCATCCAAGTTAGTGAAGTCAAAGAGATGTAGTTTGTAAGAGTGGGAGTTAGGAAATACTTGTTATGTCACATTGTAGGGCTTATGTATGATGTACAATTAAAAATGTCTCTATCTAATGCGGCGTGAGATGCAAGGATCATTCTATCACATCTAGCAATAGTCGATGTATGAGTAACTAGGATCAAGTTTCCGACTCTTTGACGAGGCTCCACCTGATTTCCTGTATTTTGTAATGATGCTCTGGATTGGGCCATTGTGATTGGGCCTATTTCTTTGGGTCATTGGCTAGTCTAGAACATTAATGAAGGTAATTCTTGGGAAGAAGTTTAATCTTATTTGAAATATGTCAATTCAACTTTTGTCGTCAATGTGAAGATTTTTTTTTTGTGAGGGTAATTTGTAAGTATTTTTGTGTGTTATTTGAATCTTGAAACCTACCTAATTTTTTAAATAAAAATAACGGTAATAATTTATCTACTTTATTAAAACTAGCATGACATGCAAACACTAGATTGGTTCAAATAGAACCGTATTTCAATATTTTAGGTAAGGTACTCTATTAAGGTCTTATGGATGGAAAAAAATTATTTAGGTGAGCAGACACACTAAAGTGACCATTCATATTCTTTAACAAGATTAATAATTAACAAAATTGATGTAAACTTTGGTTAACAAAAATTGACATGTCATTATCTCACCATTCTTTCTACATAAAAACAATGAGAAAGTTAGTTGCTTAAAAGATTCACCTAGTTGAGTATGAAAGTGATAGAGTTATAAGTAAAATATTGTTAAAATGGATTTAGATCTCTCCCAAAAACTAACTTAAAAGATGAAGTTGTCCACCATGTTTATACATTTAATAGTATGGAAACCTAAGCAATGTGAGACTCTAATATAATTTCAACAACAGAAACTTCAACCCCTACCATCATGTCTAGCATGGGCATGGGGTCTAATATCCATATTGTAGTTCTTAAATTAATTCGGATACCATGTAAAATGGGTTTTGATCGTATCCCAAAAGTTACCTCTAAATATGAGATTTCCTAAACATATTTATACATTTAAATACCTAAGAACCTAAAAAATTTGGGACTCAAAACAAATTTAACACCCACCATCACACTTAGTATGAGCCTGAGTCTAATTCCCATATTCAAGTCCTTAACTCGAATCTGATACTGTGTTAAATAGGTTTGGATCTCATCACAAATCAAGCTCAAAGGATGATGTTGTCCAAACATATTTATACATTCAACAACATAAGAACCTAAGAAATGTGAGACTACAATATAACTTCAATGATACTAATAAAGTTCAACACCCACCCTTACATATAACATGAGCTTGAGTCCAATTTTCATGTTGCAATCCTTCACCCATATCTAATACCATGTTAAATGTGCATGAAGCTATGATACCATGTTAGATGGGATTGAATCTAATCCTAAAAACTAATTTAAAGAATGATGTTTCTAAACATATTTATACATCCAACATCCCTAAAACCTAAGGAATGTGGGACTCTAAACAACCTTAACACCTACCTACACACATAGTGTGATCCTGGGTCCATTTCCCGTATTGAAATCCTATGTTAAATGGGCATTGAATTCCTATGTTAAATGAGCATATATATCATCCTAAAATCTAGATTAAAAAAATTAGGGTGCCCAAACACATCTATACATTCAACAATTCAAGAACCTAAGTAATGTGAGACTCCAATAAAACTTCAACAACACCAATACAATCACCCACCCTTATGCTTACCACAAACTTGAATCCAATTCTCACAGTATACTCCTTAGCCTGACTCTAATACCATGTAAATGAAATTGGATATTATCCTAAAAACTAGCTCAAAGGATGAGATTGCCCAAACGTATTATTACATCCAACATCCTAAAAACCTAAACAATGTGGGACTCTAGCGTAACTTTAACAAAACAAACTTCAACAAAAACAACAAGGTTGGGTCTTTTGGAAGAGGTTAGACTTCACCAATGAGAACTTAGTTTTTATAGAGTAATTGGGTTTGTATACACTCTATGTTTGTTGTTGTTCTCTGTGCAGTGATTGTTGAGATTGTTATTGGATAAATGGTGTCTGCTATCGTAACTGAATGTCGAGATAGTCGATAACGCTTAACTAGTTTGAATATGTTTGTCAGAACATTATATGAACTTCATTGCTTAGTTATATAGGATAATTATTTGTGTAAATCTCATAGGCCAATAGTTTTATTAGAACTTGTTACTTGTATTGAATTATTTATTAATAATAAAAGACATTTCTTTGTTATGTTTGTTTTTCCAAAATAATAAAGTTCCAAGAATAGATAGTCCATTAAATGAAACATTAAGTGTGACTTAATCATGAGATCATATTAAACATATTATTCTAAAAGTACCAATAGTTCAACTTTATTATGAAGAGGGATAAAGTTAAAGTATTTAGACTATTATGTGGATAGACTGATGATCTCATCTCATGGATCATGGATAAAAAGTTATCAAGTTTTTACATATGTATGAATATTATGAGTGATATTTATAATGGATTGTGTCACGGTGAAAATTGGATACCAAGCTATTGATTAGCTTGAATCTAAATTCATTACAACCGGTCTTTTATTTGTCCAAAGGA